GCGATTGGCCTCTGGGAGGTGTCCCACAATGCCTGTTCTCACCTCTCTGGTCATCGGTTTGAACTCTACTGCCCTGCCCTCAGGTGAGCAACCGTCATTCCCACCCCTTAAATTCCTTTGGAATTTTGAAAGTCCCCTTCCTGTTTGCTCGGTGACACGTGCAGTGGTCTCAGCACATCTTTCCAGGTGACCATGCCAGCTCCACGGACCAGGCAATCCCCCGCTTGGAGCAATGCCGAGCTGCTGGACCTCATCAGCATTTGGGGAGAGGAGGCTGTCCAGTCCCAGCTGCGCTCCAGCCATAGGAATTATGATACCTACAGACAGATTTCACGATGCATGACAGAAAGGAGAGGAGGCCCCTGGTAAGTGGCTTGTATTTTGAGAATTGTTGAAGCGAGTTGTTGGGGGCAGGAGGGTTGCAGAAAGCAGGCTTGTGTCTGTATGGTGCGCGTACCACCACATGCCTAGTCTGAGCGGTGGAATAGGGTGTTGATTGACTCCCTCATTTCATGGGAATCTGCTTCAGAGATCTCCAGGAAACTCCCATGGAGATACTGGACAATCCGCTGCTGCAGGTTCTTTGGCAGAGCTGCTTTGTTTCTTGCGCCATTAAGGGTAACTTTCCCGTGCCACTCTGCTGTCACTGGGGAGGGACCATTACTGCACACAGGTGAGTCGCATTAGGGCCAGGGTGGAAGCCGCAGTCTTGGAGAAAACCCTTCCTTGATTCCCTGCTCACCCTCAGCAGTGAGATATCTTCCATAATGAACACAGCCTGTGGAAAATGTGGGGACAGTAATGATTATAAGGCCCCCACTACAGTGTTGGCTTTCCCCAGGAGCCACGTACCCAGTGCACAGTACGATCCTGGAACACTGATTTCCCCTGCCTCTGCGGTTACTCACCATTTTGGGGGTCTTATGGCTCATGTGTGCTTGCCTGGGGTCAGCCAATTAGTGATAGGTATGTAAATAGTTACTGTGTTTTAAATCAGTGGTCTCTGTGTTGCAAACAATACTGCTTCTGTAAAATGTTGCATTTTGGCTTCACAGATATGACCTTGGGAGTCCAGCCTCCCTCTTTGTTATCGCCAGCTGAACGGCTGCGCAGAATTAGAAAGTGGCCATGAAGAACTAAAGAGGACTTTCTGCGTGAGGTCATGATGCACTCCGCGGCCGAAAAGCAAGAATTGAAGGAGTGGTGGGACAGCGAGAAGAGGGACTGAAAGGAGAACGCAGCGCGCCAGAAAGAAGCCACGGAGCAGCTCTTAAACATTATGGAGTGCCAAGCGGACATGCTCCAGGCGCTACTAGCACTGCAAACGGAGCAGCTCCGCGCCCACCCTCCCTTGCAGCCACTGTCACAGAACTCTTTCCCATGCGCCCCCAAGACACGGCCAACACACTCTTATCAACCTCCTGGCTCCAGTCTGTACCCGCTGCATTCCACTCCTGCCCCATCACAGTCCAGCCCTGTGGACTCCCAGTACCCACTGCGCTCAACACCGGTTCCTCTGCAGTTTAGCTCTGCTGAGGTACAGTACCTGCTGCACTGTACTCCAAAGAAGAAGGTTGGATATGATACCTGGACATACATAAATCTTTAACCATCCCGGGACCCCACCTCCTCTTGGGACCCTCCCTTCCCCCATCCCCCTCAGTGCGGATGTGTTTTTTTGTTTGTCTCTCTGCCGGTTGTTGTTTTTTAATAAAAGAATTGTTTTGGTTTGAAAGCAATCTTTATTCCATTAATTAAAAGTAAACAGAGCCCTGCAAAGCAACTGGCAAAATTTTCTTATACCTTCATAGTGCATCGTCTGCACCAATCACAATCATCTCCTAGCATTACAAGCACTGCATTCCCGAGCATAGAACAAATATTAGTGGCTTTCAGCTTCAAATTGCTGCCTCCTTATGGCCCCACGCTGCGCCCCTCTAATAGCCTTAGTCTTTGGCTATTCAAATTTAGCCTCCAGGCACTGAGCCTCTGCAGTCCAGCCCTGAGTGAAGCTTTCACCCTTCCCTTCACATATATTATGGAGCGTACAGCACGCGGCTATAAGCATAGGAATATTGTCATCATCCAGGTCCAGCCTCCTGTATAGGCAGTGCCAGCGGGCCTTTAAATGGCCAAATGCACGCTCAACAGCCATTCTGCACTTCCTCAGCCTGTTGTTGAATTGCTCCTTGCTGCTGTCAAGGTGCCCCATGTATGGCTTCATAAGCCACGGCATTAAGGGGTCAGCAGAGTCTCCCAGGATCACAATGGGCATTTTGACTTCCCCTACGGTGATCTTCTGGTCCAGGAAGAAAGTCCCTGCTTGCAGCTTCCTGAACAGGCCAGTGTTCCAAAAGGTGCACCGGACCAGCCTGCATTAATGTCCATAAAATGCCCACGGTGATCCACAAGCGCCTGGAGAACCATTGAGAAATACCCCTTGCGATTAATGTACTTGGTGGCTAGGTGGTCTGGTGCCAGAATTTGAATATTCGTGCCATCTAGCAGCCCTCCGCAGTTAGGGAAGCTCATTTGTGCAAAGCCATCCACAATGTCATACACGTTGCCCAGAGTCACGGTCTTTCGGAGCAGGATGCGATTAATGGTCCTGCACTATTCCGTCAACAGAAGTCCAACAGGTAATTTTCCCACTCTGAGCCGGTTAGCGACCGATTGGTAGCAGTCTGGAGTAGCCAGCTTCCACAGTGCAATTCTCACGCGCTTCTCCCATGACAGGGCAACTCTCATTCTCGTGTCCTTGCACCGCAGGGCTGGGTGAGCTCATCACACAGTCCCATGAATGAGGCTTTCCTCATACGAAAGTTCTGCAGCCACTGCTCGTCATCCCAGACGTGCGTGACGATGTGATCCCACCACTCAGTGCTTGTTTCATGAGCCCAAAAGCGGCCTTTCACTGTGGTCAGCACCTCCGTGAATGCCACAAGCAATTTCATGTTGTAGCTACTATGTGTGGCGAGATCAATGTTGCATTCCTCTTGCCTTTGTAGTTTAAGGAATAACTCCATTGCCACTTGTGACGTGATAGGGTATGTGTTCTCTAGCAACGTTAAAGTGCTGCCACAGCCACGAGTGGCTGGTGCCCTGTCTACGCTGTAACTTTACAGAGCTGAAACTTGCAGCACTGTAAAGTGGCAGTGTAGACAAGGCCTTAGTCAGAGTGAGCAGCATATTGGTCAATAGTGCGGGATCCATTCCTGCAGACTGAAGAGGTGGAGCACGCAGTTCACAAATCGTTGAAAGATGGCGCCAAATGCAGACGGAAGCACAGGAATTGTTGGGATGTGAAGCAATGCATCATGGGGCATTGGGACAGGACCCAGGATGCCCCGCAACCCCCTCCGCCTTCCCACAACTCTTAGCAGCAGAAGAGGAAAAGATGCTCTGTGGGATAGCTGCCAAGAGTGCACCGCTCCGAATACAGCTGCAAGTGCTGCAAGTGTGAACATGCTATTGCGCAGGCAGCTGACACAATTGTGAACACACAACAGCGGTTTTCTTTCAGCGCTCTCTGCACAGTGCTGTAACTCTGCCAGTGTAGACATACCTTAAGGTTATGACTACACTACAGAGCCTATGCCTGCATAGCCTCCTGGTGTAGATGCAGCGTACGTTGACAGAAGGAGATGTTTTACTGGTATGGGAACACCACCTCCCCAAATGCCATTAGCCATTAGAAGAGGGTTTCTGTCAGCATGACTGCGTCTATCCTGGTGGTTTAGTCTGCGTAGCTGTGTCACTAGAGTGTGTGGGTTTTTTTTGCATCCCTGATCAATGTAGCTATGGGCCAGTATAAATTTTAATAGACCAGGCCTCTGTGACTTGCCCAAGGTCACACAGGAAGTCTGTGGTGAAACTGGGAAATGGTCCTGAGTCCCAGGATAGTGCTCTAACCACTAGACCATGTCTTTTCCGACACAACATACTGCAAAGATCTGAATAATCCTAGGGCCTATTCCTGCAAATCTTTACTCATACTCCATTTGAGCAAAGACATGTGGGATTGGGGCCCAAGATGGGAAATATATATTATTTCAGTGACAACTGAAGCTTTGAATAAAGACTAAAGGAAGGCTTGAAAATTAAACTTAAGATTTTCAGATGCAATGGTCAAACTGAACATAAGATAGATCTTTCTGTGAAGAAATTGAGTATGTGCTGGCCATGAATACACTGGCAAACTGCTGAATTTATACATACTCAGTTTTCAGAGTGGTAGCTGTGTTAGTCTGTATCAGCAAAAACAACAAGGAGTCCTTGTGGCACCTTAGAGACTAACAAATTTATTTGGGCATAAGCTTTAGTTCTAGCCCACGTTCTAGCCCACGAAAGCTTATGCCCAAATAAATGTGTTAGTCTCTAAGGTGCCTCAAGGACTCCTCATTGTTTTTGCACATACTCAGTGTAGTGGTAGCACAGACCTGAGTTGTGCTTGTCAAGCATACTGAATTTGTGGACCTATTTTAGCTTCAATCAACCATATTGACTTGGCTTTTAATTTTGGTCCATTTCTTATGTACTTTAGACACTAGGTTTGTTTTCCATAACATTTTATTTTCAGGCTTGTGCATGCCCAATTTCAGTACATAAATTTATTTCCCTTTAAACCTATATTTCCATAGAGATCTGGAGATTGGGACATTTCCCCCCAAAATCCCACTCCACCTAGAAGAGAACAATCTCCCAGTCACTTATTTGTGGATTGTTTGGAGGAGGGGAAAAACATGAGGCTGCTGTCTTGTGTCTTTAGTTTTCTATGCCTTGGAACTGAAAGCTCTTTCTGTCTCTCTCTGCCTTTAACACACTAACATGCTGCTGCTCGCTGCCGCTGCTGGAGGGAAGTGAAAATGAAATCGACTTTTCCGAGAAATGATGAAAGCGGCTGTGTCTGCCAATGAAAGGCTGCGGTAAACTTCCGCACCTCTCCCATCTCAGCCCCCCCTCCCCCTTTGCACAAACAGGCCGGGGAGGTGGGGGGAATTTCCAAGCCTCAGCTCCTCGCAGTTTCCTCTCCTTGTTTTGCTTTCGATCTGGACTCTTCTCAGCCAAAGCTGAGGGAGTAACTTTTAGTTTTGCTCCTGCGATTATTCAGCTGAGTGTTTTCATTTCCATTTTGCATCCCCTGGCAACAGCGTTAACCTTGAGGAATTATATAAATACCGCGCATAACACATTAAACAAGGTAATTTTTTTAACTACTACTGTCTCTGTATGTGGATTTACACAAATGTTTGGCAAACAGGAAGTGCCCGCTCTCAAATAATTAATATTGATTTAAAAATAAAAGGTCAGCGGTGTTATGGATCATATGATTTTAGGTGAAGCTGCTGCTCGGGAAAGGAAGGTTAATTTCACTTTTGCATTTGAAAAGGCAGAGAAGGTGATCGACTGGAAGGAAGGACGTGTGTTTGTCTCGGACCGCGTCGAGACCGATTGTGTACAGATCGGCAGGGTTTTGGCTTTGAATTTATTTTGAGTCTAATGGGGGGAGATGATCAACAACGGAAACAAAGGAGGGAAGCATTTAATTCTCCCGCTGTGACGGATGGGAAAGCGAGCGAGCGAGAGAGAGTTGGACTGGGAAAAGAAACAGGCAAGAGGAGAAAAAGACGCCAAACAACACAGAGGGACATACAAGCAGCAACTTCCACCCCCGCGGCGCGAGCCTGACACCCCGTAACTGCGGCACACGGAAAGTTAATGGAGTGGCGGAGCTGAGCGGGGGTGGGGGGGCTGCGGACATTTCCTGCAGGTGATCAGCGCCCCCCGGCCGCGGGGGATCCCGCTCGGTTCGGGGCTCGATGCTGGTGGCAGGGAAGCCGGGGTGAGACATGTACCGAGCAGGAGCAAGTGCTGCTAAGCAGCCGCGGGGGAGGGAGCCGGAGTCACAGCAAGGGCGCAGGGCAGCGGCTGCCCCCCGGGCTGTGCACGTTGGGCGGGGCAGGAGGGGCCGAGTAACCCCTTCCCCGCCCGGCCCTGGGAGCTAGCGGCAGACGGGGCCGGGCCGGGCCGGGCCTGGGTTGGGAGCGGATCCCCGGATGTGCAGGGCTCGGCCGCGGCACTTGTTGCAGCCCGGGGGCCTTGGAGGGGGATGGGGGCGAAGTGAGTCCCGCGGGGCCGCTGCTCCCTGCGGAGGCCTGGCGGCTGCTGCAGGCCCGGGCTGGGGGCGCATGGGCAGAGCCCCCGGCCGGGCCTGCAGACGGGAGCTGCTTGGCTGGGGCCCGGTGCTCAGGTCAGGGTTGGGCCGGGGGGTGCGCGTGGGGGGGAGGGTGTCACTCGCCCCCCGCCCCCCAGTGTTGTTATACAAGCCCCAGCACTTCCTCCCTCCGGCCTTTCCCCCTCCCCCCGGCAGGCGGTGACGAAGCGGCCTCTCGTGCCCAATGGCGGGGCCGAGCCCGGGAGCCTCCCGCGCGCCCCTGGCCGCTGCCGGCGTTCGGACTCTGGCAGGCGGCGCAGCTCCCTGGGCAGCGACACGGGACAGGGTTCGCAGCGCGCCCCTCCTCCCACACCGCCGCCCAGCTGCTGCCTGGGGCTTTTCCCCCTTCCGCACCGCGAGGCCAGGCCCGGACTCCCTGTTGGTGCCCCAGCTGCGGAGATGCTGACCCTGGGTGTCCCCTTCCCGCCAGCCGGGGGGAGAGAAGAGAGCGTGGGCACTGCTAGCCGTGTAGTTAGGGCCCAGCCCCCTTCCTGACTCGCTGCAGGCAGCGTGCTGTAGCCCTGGCCTGAGGGGCTTGTATTCCAGCGGCACCTGATCAGGGCTTCCTTCCTCCTCCGGGCATTGCCCAAAAACATAGGGGGAGAGTCCCCTCCCTGTTAGAAACGCGCCTACGTGCACTGGGCCTAGAGCACCGTTGGCCCTGTCTGTGCTACCAGCCAAACAACCTTTACCCTCGAATAGGCCGGGCTGTACTAGCGGAAATGATCCAGTGGTGTTAGCAGTGTTGGGAGCCCTCTTGTGACTGTTGGTCTACAACTTGGGCCTATAACAGCTCTGCCTGGTGCATGTAAACTGCCATTTCCTACCACTGTTCTAGGCGTGGTTGTCAGTAGACCTGCCTTGAGCCATTTAGGTGATGTGGTGCTTAAAACAACCGTGGCAGATGGTGGGTGCCTATACTAAGGCTCACAACATTGGTATGTCTAGTGGGAAAGCTGTGAAAAATGCCGTTCAAGGCATTACTGCTAATAGCATAGTTGTAGGAAGTCCCATCAAGGAAGACCTGGGGGAACCTGCATTATGCATTGAGTACAGAAATAGTGCTTGGTGGTATGCAGAACACAGAGAAATTCCTAGTTCATTCCCCAACGAGTTTAAAATCTAAGCTGCTCATTGACAAGTATGGGTAATTTCCCCAGTATAAACAGAAGCAAAATGTCTTTGAGACATGGGTCTGTAGATGTGGCCAATTGCCTTAAAAGATTTTTATATGAAAGTAATACACACCTTGAATCTAAGATTTTTCTATAGCAGCTATTACTGTTTCAGAGTAGCAGCCGTATTAGTCTGTATCTGCAAAAAGAACAGGAGTACTTGTGGCACCTAAGGGCTTGACTACATTCGGGACTTCACAGCGCTGCCGCTCTCGCAGCGCTGTATGTACTCCACCTCTGCGAGCAAGCGTGCAGCGCTGCAGGCACTGATTACCCTGGCGCTTTACAGCGCTGTACTTGCTGCGCTCAGGGGGGTGTTTTTTCACACCCCTGAGCGCAGCAAGTTGCAGTGCCGTGCAGTGCCGTACAGCGCCAGTGTAGCCAAAGCCTTAGAGACTAACAAATTTATTTGAGCATAAGCTTTTGTGGGCTACAGCCCACTTCTTCGGATGCATAGAATGGCACATATATTGAGGAGATATATATACACATACAGAGAGCATGAAAAGGTGGGAGTTGTCTTACCAACTCTGAGAGGCCAATTAAGTAAGAGAAAAAAGCTTTTGAAGTGATAATCAAGATAGCCCAGTACAGACAGTTTGATAAGAAGTGTGAGAATACTTACATGGGGAGATAGATTCAATGTTTGTAATGGCTCAACCATTCCCAGTCTCTATTCAAGCCTAAGTTGATTGTATCTAGTTTGCATATCAATTCCAGCTCAGCAGTTTCTCGTTGGAGTCTGTTTTTGAAGCTTTTCTGTTGCAAAATTGCCACCTGCAGGTCTGTCATTGAATGACCAGACAGGTTAAAGTGTTCTCCTACTGGTTTTTGAATATTCTGATTCCTGATGTCAGATTTGTGTCCATTAATTCTTTTGCGTAGAGACTGTCCGGTTTGGCCAATGTACATGGCAGAGGGGCAATACTGTGGTATTAAATGCTTGTAAAAGCAGCTCTAGATAATAACACTGGGTTTGTTCGTGTTTCTGTTGTATGTGTTGGAATTGTGGTCTAAATGGGACAGCGATGTCCTGTAAAACATGACTGAAAAAGTATTTCTGTCATGTGCCCTTCATGCACTAAGGTACCAAGTTGATCCTAATAAATGCAGGGAGCCTTACTGAAGTCAGGGGGGCTCTGCATAGGCACAGAGTACCAGCTACATGGATCAGCTTGCAGGATTGGAGTCTTGTATATTTAAAAAATATATTCCACACTTGCACTACTTGAAGTTTCATCTTTCAGCTGGTATTGATGTTTGAAATGTGTTATTTATATTGGTTGTCACTAAGCACATTCTGGGTGATGTGCTTAGGATCTGATTATTAATCAAAGTGAACAACATCAGGCTAAGGGCCATGTCCTGGACACTTTTCCCCAACAAAATTCCCTATGAAAACAATAGGAGTTTTGTTTGTGTACAGCATGCAGGATCAAATTCTCACTCAGATACAGCAGTCTTACTGTTTTCAGTGTCAAAGTCTAGAACTTTGCGCTTAATTAGTATATGATTATAATTTATAACACAATTTGATGTGCAGAGATTTTTAGATTGCAGTCACTTAGATATAGCAGGAATTGTAAACTAGCACTCCAGTTTGTTGAGATGAAATATCAACTTCTATATTTAAACATACATTTAAAATAAATCTTTTAATAGTTTTGCATAGTTTACCTCTTGCAGTAAATGCTTAACCTAGTACTATGAAAAGAGAATTCACTACTGCACCAACATTTAAATTCACTGTAACTGGAAAAATGGTGACACAATTATGAAAGCAGCATAGTTAAGATTCAAAGTCTCTGTGAGACAGATCAACATTCTGAATGAGTCTAAATCTTTCCCCTGCTGTCAGATGTTGCTTAGGGCATGAACAAGGCCTATCTATCCTGGGCTGCTCTTTGCATGTCCCTCTATGTGTTAAGTACCATAAGTTTGTCTTCTGAGTAATCTTCAGTGAAAGTATTCTTTTGATTGGCCCCATCTAAGTTATCATTAATTTATACTGGCATAAAACAGCAGAAGAGCTGAGTGTTCAGTCTGAGAGCAATGGTTTTCTTGATACAGTATTCACTTGCATTAGCAATGAATGTTGTACTCCACACTGCAATTTTGTAACCAGGAAACAAACTCACAAAATGGAAAATAAACAGTGTATTATTACCTTTTTCCTTCTCTGCTAATCAATATCCATATCCTTTAAACTTGCATATATACATAGCTTTAAGCAAACCAGTAGTCCTATCAATGGCAATGGAACTACTCGTGTATAAAAGTAAGCACGTGTGTTAAGTGTTTCCAAGTGTTTCCCTGCTCTTGAGCTGTTTAGATCTTTAAACACAAAATTTTAAATTAGAGCTATAAAAGCATGGTGGTGTCTGCTTTGGTATAAATATTACAAATTGCTGGTGGTAGGCACCAGATTCACTAGTACATTTTAACTGCCTTGCACCACTTCAGTTATGTAAAGCTGCTGTTAGTCCAGATTAACTGATCATTGATAAGTTGCTTGAATGGCATAAGCAGTCAGGCCATATTGGTGAATCTGACCCATACTGTATTCTTTTTATCAAATATTGCAGAATATTTGATGAAAGCACATTTTGAATTCGCAGTTGTGTGTGTCCACAGTGGTGGCCTAATTCTGAGTTATACTTATCTAGTCAGAGAGGAGAAACTTACTGTGTGACTTATGTGTCCATTCAGAGCAGTTCAATTTCAAATTTTGAATACTGAATATTCACAGTGAACTGATTGTGAACAAGCCACTGACTAAGACTTTCTGATAACAAATAATTGTAAGAAAAT